TTCCCCCCCCCCCCCCCCCCCGATCATCACGCCTTTTCTGATATGCACTTTTCGTTAATTAGAGACATGTATGTGTGTGTGTGTGCGTGTGTGTACATAACGCGTGTGTACATAAATGTATATAACCGCAAAGTGGTGGGTGTCGCTTGTCTAATTTTAATCGAATATTTTATATAACATGATTGTTCATACATGGTCCTTCTATTACCGGCATCATGCCGTTTTAAAAATATTACGAGTGGTTTTATGCAAAAGTCTCAAACTAGAGTGGGTACTTAATTTCACAGCCTAATTAGTATCATTAGTTGAACAGTTAATTAGGGAGCGTAATACGGCGATTGTACGGACGCTCTGGTAGACGATCAGTCTACGGAACAGTGACTCGCTGTAATGTGCGCTGGTTTGTAAAATATCCTTAATGGAATAAAGCTTGTTATCCGCAAGTGATGCGATGGAACTAGTGACTGCGATTCAGTAACCGCGTCGGTATCTCTGTTACTGAGCCAAGAAAAAAAGGAAACGATATTTGTTCTTATCGCTGATTTACATTATTCGTATGAGCCTTTTCGATAGCTGTAAGAAGTGCAAGTTCATTGTAACATTTAGGAAATACATATAATAAGCTAACAGTGACATTACAATAATGTTACAATTTCCCACTCAACAATGTAATTGTCATATACAACGCATGTTACATATTACATTATTGAGTAAGAAATTATAATATTGATGTAATGTTACTGTTTACGTTCTCTATCTCGCAAGTCTGATAAAAATAACGCTGAAATTTTCAAAATATCTTTCACAGGTATTTTGAGGTGTACATCGATTGTCTATTTAAAAAAAAAAACTGTCCACACATCTCTAGGAGGCAATCTAAAACAATTAAGACATCTTGGCCTGTTATCCTATTAACCTCATGAGTTTTCGTTGCCTCTTTTTGTCCAATTTTGTCATTCTGCGACACACATGTGGGCAGAAATCTTGCAGAATCGAGAGAGACCCTGTATCTCAAAGCCTCGATGACAACTTAATGTTGAAATGTTAGTGCTCTAGGACATAAGTGATATAATTTGCATATCGTGTAATTAAGAATCAAACGGAACAATGGAGTAATATCTTGTTGGCTTGAAAGATAAAGAGGGGGGGGAGGGGGTGAAAGGGATATTTATATTTATCACAATTTAGAGATATTTTTAGCAGATTTTAAGACATCTCGTCTTGCACAGCAAGTCAAGATGTCTTTTTCGCTTTGTTCGTCCTGAAAATTTTTGCGAGTGAAATTATATTCTTGTTGCGCGACATGTAAAAAACATTGCGGTCCGCCGCAAGAATTTACGGAAAGATCAATGTGAGAGAATGTTGGAGAACGCAGAGAAGCGTATGCTCTAGTTACCGCGAGACTCTTCGCGTACTCAACGGAGATAACATTACGAGCGATTAGTAACTGCCGGTAGTAATTGGCATGCATTAAAGAGCAATTAAGTATTAAAAATCGCGCATGATATTCTTTATAAAATGTAAGAGACGCGGGAATATGCTATCTGATGAACACATTGTTTTCAATTTATTGTGTGCAATGTCGATAAATCACGTCTGTATGTGGAGGAGCCCATGTTGCATTGCGTTGTACCGCTAAGAACGAAATGTATCTCTCGATTTTGTTTATTAAGCGTCTTTCATTCATCACGTTTGTATATTTAATTTTTAATTACACCTTGTATTTGTACGTTGTATTTTTCTGATTAATAACGTCTTCGTTATGTAATTCGCAAGATATGCAAGTAGTTTTTACTAAAAATCGTCCACGAATCTCCGTTCTTCAACGCGAGCGAAAGTATTCTCTTTGCACTTATTGTGGAAAAAAAAATCGGTTACTGTCAAGCGACTTGGAGAGAAGATCCACCGGTTGTGTCCGGCGTCTCGGCGTAAAAACGGACGGATTCATGTGCGGCGGAGCCACAGGAGGGGAGCTTATATAAAGCAACTCTTCCTTCCAGGAAAACGCAATGCTCCGGAAGCTCATGTCACGCGAAGACGGTGTAACATCTAGTCCAATCAATCCGATTGTCCGTTTGATAGTCGCCGAATTCGACGTCACCGCGACCACTGTACCTACGACGCCCTTCCGAAATGTGCGATGACGACGTGGCCGCGCTGGTGATCGACAATGGATCTGGAATGTGCAAGGCCGGGTTCGCCGGGGACGATGCTCCTCGAGCCGTCTTTCCGTCGATCGTCGGAAGACCCCGATACCAGGTAACAAGGGGAGAAGAAATAAAAACCATTCCACAATGTCTGCAATAAGAGTATGATCCGAAATTTGTAAGACGCGGTTGTAAAAGCCTTTTCCGATACGTAACATAACATTGTGTGCATAATTTGTGCGTGAACATAATTATACAATGTTTGTGCGTTGCTTAATTATGTATTTCGACTTTTGGTGCTTTGACTGCTCATCTTTCTTTATGTCCTTTTATATTCGATATCAGCCCCGGATTATTTACATCTTCGCGATATTTTGTAAACGCTTTTTTGTTGCTGCTAGTCAGTTTATACACATATAAAATATTTAATGTTCTATTACGTAAATTAACAATTTATTCTTTATATGCGTAAAGTGGGATTATTCCGCTTGTATAAATAAATTAATAAACATAAGATCGAATGTGATTTTTATTTCGCTTACGATCTTATGTTACGGTTTATTATACCGGAACGCCCTTAAGGCTATTCTATGATAGTCCGTAAGAACTATGGCTATAAGTCTGTAAAACGATGTTGTAAAGGTTCATTCCACATAAGATCGTAAGGGTTCATATTCATTTACGATCTTACTGTAAAAGAGTCTTGATACTGAGTGACGACTCAATTCGATGAATTTCGAGCGTGCTGTACTCTAATCTCAGACATGTTTAGGGAATCATGGTGGGCATGGGACAGAAGGACAGCTACGTCGGCGATGAGGCGCAGAGCAAGCGGGGCGTCCTTACCGTCAAGTATCCCATCGAGCATGGCATCGTCACCAACTGGGACGACATGGAGAAGATCTGGCATCACACGTTTTACAACGAGTTGCGAATCGCGCCTGAGGAGCACCCCGTCCTGCTCACGGAGGCACCGTTGAACCCGAAAGCTAACCGGGAGAAGATGACGCAGATTATGTTTGAAACTTTCAACACGCCGGCCATGTACGTCGCCATTCAAGCTGTTCTGTCACTGTACGCGTCCGGCCGCACGACCGGCATTGTCCTGGACAGCGGTGACGGGGTGTCTCACACAGTACCTATTTACGAGGGTATGTTTGCTTCCGTACGTTGAGAAATCTACACTGAGAAAGAAAAAAGCAATTGGATCGACGAGATCGGCAGTAATCCTAATTAAAAAAAAAAATTATTGTCGATCAAACCGCAATTGTTAAATTAATTGACAATTCGTTAATCGACAATAGGTAAGTTTTTAGCCTTTTGCTCTAAACAACAAAATGTAATTTCTGACAAAAGGCGCTTTGCCAAAAGACGCGATAATACTTAAATCTTGGTAATTGGCGACATGTGCTGGAAAAGCTTTTTACTAGAAGTTATATTACAATTTAGTGCTTAGAGGCAAAAGGCTTACTACACCCATCGTAGATCCATCGTAGATATGTGCTTACAACAATGGTATAATTTGTTCGGTGGACTAAATGATACGCTTGAACAAATTTTATTCGTTTAAGCAAAATTCCGTTGATTTGGCCACTTTTTTCCTCACTGTAGAAAAGAAATCGATTGAGCGTCAAACTTAGTCGTCGATATCTCCCGGTGCGCGATGATGCGCGATTTGTCGTTTCAGGATACGCGTTACCGCACGCCATCCTGCGCCTGGACCTGGCCGGCCGCGACTTGACCGACTACTTGATGAAGATCCTCACCGAAAGAGGCTACTCTTTTACAACCACTGCCGAGCGGGAGATTGTGCGCGACATCAAAGAGAAGTTGTGCTACGTGGCCTTGGACTTCCAGCATGAAATGGCGACAGCCGCAGCGTCGAGCGCCTTGGAAAAGAGCTACGAGCTGCCGGACGGCCAGGTAACATGAGGACCGACGTCGCATTATGATGTGTTTCACGAGTGCAACGTCCGCGCGATTAACGTGAAGCGTTACCGCCGTGGCCTTAAGAGTCAAACACAGAGAAGAGCACTAGCTTCCTCGGCAATTATTAGACACGCCGTTAAAATCCTGTCTCAAGATAACTACGTTCTAATAATGCAGCAATGTATGTGCGTCGTGAATTATTTATACGTCCGACGATCGCTATTATGCAATAAAGCACTCCAGACAGCGTGATATCGCTCAAAATATTTCAATGTATTCTCGCCAATTTACGATCGCCTATCTCTTTCGAGATAAAGTTTCAATATGGCATACGAATATATACAGAAAAACGTAATTTGAAAACATCATATTGGATTTGTGCAAAAGATCCCGTTTTTTCATTAATTCTTCGCTCAGAAATCCCGGAATTTCTGCGAATGTAGAATGACGCGGGAGAGATGGCGTGTTCGGACAAAACGGCGCGAACTGATTCTCACTAAACTCTGGTCAAGCTAATTGACGACCTAAAATTGCTGTCAAGTGCTGCTATCTGCTCTATCTTGCTAATACAGATAGAAGTGATTAACTTTTCCATTATTGTGAAACGACAGAACGGAAGGTTGGGAATTCTTGTTATCATTCATTGATTAGCTCACAATTTGGTAAAAATCATTCTCAATTGGTTGATTATATTTCAAAATAAATAAATGTGCATTTTTTCATTAAAAAAAAAAACAGATAATAAACTTTTACACCAAGAGAGATGAACGTCGTGACGAGCGGCGGTAACGGTGGGAGACGCGCGCTCATCATTAGCATTAATTACGCGCGTTCGCGCGCCGGCAGGCGTTAAGTCGTCATGGATTGCCTGGTCGTGCGGTCAGTGGACGAAGACGTAACGGACCACGCTGATTCCAGGTCATCACTATCGGCAACGAACGCTTCCGCTGTCCGGAGGCAATGTTCCAGCCGAGCTTCTTGGGCATGGAGTGTTGCGGCATACACGAGACGACGTACAACTCGATCATGAAGTGCGACGTCGACATCCGCAAGGACTTGTACGCGAACTCGGTGCTGTCGGGTGGCACCACCATGTATCCGGGCATCGCCGATCGCATGCAGAAGGAGATCACAGCGCTCGCGCCAGCCACCATGAAGATCAAGATAATCGCGCCGCCCGAGAGGAAGTATTCGGTGTGGATCGGTGGCTCGATTCTCGCCAGTCTCAGCACGTTCCAGCAGATGTGGATCTCCAAACAGGAGTACGACGAGTCGGGCCCGTTCATTGTGCACAGAAAATGCTTCTGAGGACGCTCTCGCGACGTCTTAATGTTCTAATCTCCCTCCTCGAGATACTCTTCGAGCGACACGATCCTTCGATGAATCGCACGCACCGCCGGCTTCACCGTGTCGAACGATCGAGAGAAGTTCTCGAATCTCGCGTCTTCTTGCTCTCCCGAGAAATTGTTCATCTGCCGAGTACACATATTTATAGAATAACTTATTTCCCGCGAATATTCCTCTCTTACTTCGTGCGAGACAGCTTTCGAAAAAATGTTTAATTTTCCCGAGAAACAATTTTTTGCTCCTCAAGAGAAAACACACAGTCGGCGTATACTGCACCATTCCTTGGACGGAGAAAAATTACACTTTTTAATCTTATATCATCTATAAGGTTGAAAATCGAATAACTATAGTAATGACGGAATTAAAATAGTTTGTAAGATTTTGACTTTATGTGACACCGACTGTACACATTGGTCCTTTACTTCCTGGCGAATAGTTTTTCATTGTCTGAGAATGTTAGATCGATGAATTTTACATATGTTTGTATCAATTTTAGTTCTATACATACATACATACATACATACATACATACATACATACATACATACATACATACATACATACATACATACATACATACATACATACATACAGGGTGTCCCATTTTAACTTTTACACCCAAATATTTTGAAAAGAGTGCGTCAATGGATTGTATGATTTAGGAGGGGGGAGAGGGAAACACAAGTTGTTGTCATTGGTTTGACCTTGAATAGTCGTTTGAAAGTCACGTAAAGGTCACATTCAATTTTTTAAATGGAACACTATTTTTCATGGCATATTCTTTTCATAGCTTATCTCGAGGGCTTTTCAAAACAGTATAATTAAGTTCCATTTAGCCAAAAACTATTCGAGATATGCGCCACTGAAATTTACCGCCGGCATTAGCGTTATCTTAGCTGCACCAAGGTGTAGGTCGCATGGTCGAATTCTTTGGGGTACTTTATTAAAGTGAGCTCTCACGTACCCTCGCTTCTCACGTGCGTGCATGATGTGTGTCGATGGGCCTAATATGGACTGTAATATAATAAATATACTGTGTACAAATCACCCTAGGAATAGGAAAATTCTACACATATGGCAAAACTTATTGATAAATGACACATGCGAGAAAGATCGTATGTTTCTATCCGTGCAAAAAATTTATTGATAACTTGAGTATGCACCGTGAAACTAATTAGGCGAGCGATTCTGGAGGGGAGGGGAGCCCGTTTGAGGGACGAGGTATCTCCAAAACTGTGCCTGGATTGGTTGAATTCTCATGCGCAGTACCGCCAATTATAAACGAAGTATTAAGAATGCGAACATATAATTCGGAAAAATATATGAAAATTTAATAAAATAGCGAATAAGAAGCGATTCTATATGCAAAAATATGTTGAAAGAAATACACCAATGGACCATCGATGAACACCATTCAATTCAAAAATAAACAACAAAGCAACTCTTTACTACGTCCTCACATGCTAATGGACGGACGCTGAGAGTGAAATTACACGATGCGTAATAGAACTGTGGAATAGAAAGTGCATCATAGCAACAACCAATCAGCACACAAAACTCGCATGATCGAAAAGAGCTCTGATTGGTTGCTTCTAAGATGCACTCTCTATTACGCACCGTGTAACTTCACCCTAATAAAGATAGAATTACGCGGTAGAATAAAATAGCGTCTCCCCGAACGCATCCTTTGAACGTACCTTCGCTATATATAGCTATTTTGACGAAAATCGGCAAAGTGGGGGTAATACATTATTTTTCTTCGCCGCATGAAATGGCACCTTTACGCATGAAGATCCAAAGATCAACTCAATCTCGGACGAACTACGTGTCACAATAATATGATATTTTAATTATTTCGTTTTTGCGTCAATGGTGAAAACCAGTCTGGAGAAAGTCAATCGATTGATTACCGATCAACGACAAGTCATTTTTACCATTTTAATTGTTTCGAGTTAAACAATTTTTATTCAACGTTTATGCCGATAGTAAGTATCCAACGATACAATCGTACAAGATATATATGAAAATTTATATAATACCCAATGAAACTCTAAAATAATATATCCTCCAGGTCCTCTTGTGCGGGAAGTCAATAATAAATAAGGCAATACAAAAATGGCATTTCGTGACCTAGTGGAAGGAAACTGTGGGAATCCCAGCTCGTTGTTGGGCTTGGCATCACATTATGTAAACAACCGTGGGTTCAAAGAAGAAGGTATTCAGCAGTTACTTGGGCCACCAAATCTGCATCAACCTGTGACCAAAGATGAGTTAGTCAAAGAATTTCTAGAGGAATCAGCTTGCCCTCAAACATTTAGAATGAACAACTTATTGCAAGAAATGAGAGGAATTGAACAAAATATCTCTCTTCCTCCAATGATAATACCTGAAAACATTATAGAATCAAGTCATTCAGGCAAGGATTGGATCAATCAATATACTGGATCTAAGGAGGACATTATGGTAATTTAATAAATTATTGTTGCTGTGACAAATACCGAGAACTTTCATCTTTAACATGAAAAACCTCTATTTCAAATTTCTAATTAACATAATGCGTATAATATGTAAGATAAACTTATAAAGCAATCTTTGCTTAGGATAACAATATGCATATGATGAAAATTCATCCTGAAGCTGACTTTGAACCAGAATGGTTCAGGAACCAGAAAGATTATGTAGAACAGTTTATAGATGACACACAGAATGCTGCAACAAGTAGTGGTTCAGAGCAATTTCATGTTCCAGAAGATTGGAAGGAAGGATATATTGAAACAGAACCAGAGATGGTGAGAATGATGAAAACACACGAAATACTAAGAAGATTCGAGCGCCTTCATGACGAGGCTGATAAGGAGCGCCTTTGTAATGAGGCTAGTGGAGAGTCTCTTAACCTGATGGAGGAGGAATTAGGAGCTGCAGGTACCTGGACAGATGAGTTTCTGGAAGACGACATTTTATTAAGTACGTATCCATAATTTTTTCTTTCAATAATATGCATCATTTTATTTGGTCTGTTCTTTATAGCCACACTGCTGAACTAGCGCAATAAGTGTTGATGTTTTCTCACTTCAACTTATTGTACCAGTTCAACAGTGTAGCTATAAAGAATAGGCCACTTAATTCACATACAAATATCTCATACATGGACTGACGTATTTGCAATTTTCCTCCTAAATTAGAGTTTAACTAGTAAGCAAAAGTTGTATACTGACAAGTTGGCAGCAAATTTGATTTAAAAAATACCATAGCGTCTGTGTCCGCATTAGGGAGAAATCACACTTTGACAGAAAAGCGGAAAAGCAGCAGCCAATCAGAATTTGCCCTGGTAGACAGTTTTTGCTTTATTTACTGCTTACTGCTTACCAGCACGAGTTCTGATTGGCTGTTGCTTTTCTGTCAAGGTTCTCCCTTAAACTCGTGTTGTGTCAATAGAGCCTACACGTACAGCTAATATAAGTTCTAGTCTACAATAGATGCTTTAAACCTTAAGAAATTGACCAATCGAATTATAAGGTGCGTTCCATCTAACGCTCGCAACGATTGCGAGCATCGTTCTGTCTTTAACGTGCAAGAAAAACAAGAATGCTGCTTACGATCGTTGCGAGTGGAATGCACATTTTGTAGTCCGCTTCTTTATATTGGCCTGTTCTTTACAGCTGTACTGCTGAACAATGAGTTGAAATGAGACAAGTACATGTTTTCTCACTTCAACTTATCCTTCAGCAGTTCAGCTATAAAAAACAGACCAATAGTCACACATTTCTAATTCACGTGATGCTTGTTTCCATGACAACCATTGTTTATTCAGGCTCGTATATTTTGGCGCTCGTGACATTCCGAGAGTCAAATAGAACTTAAGCCAGCGGCACACGATGCTTGTTTTCGTGCTGGATTGTTTGCTGGATGGAAATATTGCGTTTTGATTGGTGTATTGTCATCCATTTTTAGGAATACACCAATCAGAACGCAGTATTTCTATCCATCAAGTAATCCAACACGAAAACAAGTATCGTGTACCGCTGGCTTTAGCCTTTGTGTCTGATGGGGTCACATTTCGATTTCGAGAGCGTGACTGTAGAGGCGTTCTCTTGTATTCACACCGAGCAAAATCTATTTCTCCAAGTATGAATTTGTGTAAACATTTTAATAATAAACATGTTGTAGAGGCCCATGATTACAACAATGAGTGGATGAAATCAGATAAAGCTGATTTCTCTCCGTTTGGCGTATCAAGTGACTCTGAGGTGTACGAATTTCAACAGTCAAATCCTATGAAAGATCTGCCAAACGCACTGGAGGAAGGCAAGAGACGATTAAAAATGGGAGATTTGCCGAGTGCTGTGCTCTGTTTTGAAGCGGCTGTTCAGCAAGAAGATAATAATTCTGAAGCTTGGTATCTTCTCGGTAGAGCGCAGGCTGAAAATGAACAAGATCACTTTGCCATTCCTGCCTTAAGACACTGTCTGAATTTAGATCCAATGAACGGCGCCGCCCTCATGTCATTGGCAGTTTGTTACACAAATGAATGTCAGCAATGGAAAGCTTGCATGACATTGAGGGAATGGCTGTTGAAAAATGAGAAGTATAAGCATTTAGTCGTGGAACCTTCGCAGAAACTTCAGCTACCTCCAGGCTCGCTTGGCATATTGTTAGAGTAAGTTACCAGGGAATATAATTTTGAATATAGAAAATTTAATTTAATATAAAAATGTTCTCAACATATCAAGTATACGTGTGTTTATTTTTGTAGTCGTGCAGCAGGGAAGGAAGTTCAGCAATTATATATTCAAGCTGCGAGACTGAGTCCTCATGAAATTGACCCGGATGTGCAATGTGGACTAGGTGTGTTATTAACTTTGATGTGCGAATATGAAAAAGCTGCTGATTGTTTTCAAGCGGCATTAGGGGTACGTCCTGAGGTAAATGGTCTTCTTTTGATAAAGCTTTGTTTCAACGAGTCAAACGTTGCGAGCGATTTGTACTTCAACATATATTTCAAGGATCCTGGATTATGGAATAGATGGGGCGCTACGCTGGCTAATGGACAACGATCGGCGGAAGCTATCAACGCGTATCGACGCGCCCTGGAATTATCGCCTGGTTTCATTAGAGCGCGTTACAATCTCGGCATATCTTGCATTAATCTTGGAGCACATGCGTTAGTATAGATTTATTTATTTCTCACACTGTGATAAAAGATAGCAAAATAATTGTATTCACGAGATTGCACGGTGTTACAGGCAAGCAGCTGAACATTTTCTGATAGCCTTAAATCAGCAAGCCTCGGGAAAAGACGCAGAGGGTAAAATAGTGGCTTCCGAAGCGAAAATGTCGAGAACGATATGGTCCAGTTTAAGATTAGTAATAGCGATAATGGACAAAGTTCACTTGCTAGAATCTGTAGAGAACAGGTGACATTTTATATTTCGTAATTGATGCAAACGAAAATCTGTAAAAACTAAAAATGCGTATTATTTTTTTCAGAGACTTAAAAAAATTAAATACAGAATTTGGAATTGTATGGAATCCACAAACGGAAATGCATTTATAAATTTATATAGTAAAGGCAGAATGATTGATGTGTAGTTTCAAAACAATGCTTTATGTTCTCTCAATCTTTATAAATTTTTAAGTTTTTTTTCTCCATTATATAGCGGTTTGTCATCGATCACAGGCAGAAAGCTTTTTAATTCAAGACATAAAACGTTATCGTGTGTTAAATTGACAAGCATAATCTTGAACCGATAAGTTAGCCATTCTACTTTAAGGCCCTTAAAGACAAGAGTTCATATTCTGAATTCACTTTTATCCATAAAAATGTCTCGAAAAGTGACTTAGGAGCCATCCGAATAGTTGAGAAGCCGATCCAAAGCACATTATCGATAAAAGTGAGTTCAGAATGTGGATCCAAGACTTGAGACACAAAATAAGCCAGTCATTCTGCTAAAGCGTTAACATACAAAAAGACTACAGATAAGTGAGACAAAACATAATTATATTTTTCTTTGTAAATATGGTTACAGCATGTGGAAGGTAAATGGTAAACTCCGAAATATTTTGTAATTGCAAATAATGTGTGTATATATATATGTATATGTGCAAATATAAAAGGGATACTTTAAAATTGTTGCCCCTTTTGAGACTGCTTCGGAAAGCAACTTTCAGTGTACGACCGTATGTATATTATATAAATCTTCTATTATAGGCTACGTTCCGAAACTCGAAAGGTAGAGTAACATTTAATCAACTAATAATGATAGAGATCTTTGTTCTTTTTATCCTGATTGATCAATTAAATTTTATTCTATCCGCAGTATCCGAATAGGGAACACAGCCCTGTAAGGGTGCGTTCGAAGAGACGATACTTAGCGTTACCGTGTCATTCTATCTTTATTATTCTTTACATGTACAATAAGAATTGAATAATGCGGTAGCGCTAAATAGCATTTCCTTGAGCGCGCCCCAAGTCGGGTTTTTCACGCGTGCGCAATGCTCGGTATTCATAGACGGATCTTATATTTAAAATGGTCTTAAGTTCATCTTCAGATTCTGTACGGCTTACTTCATTGGCTACGGGACATCTGGAGTTGAACTTAAGACGGTCTTAAATATAAGATCTGATTATGAATACTGGCCAATGAACGTAATGCCAGTGAAGCGTGAAAGGGTGCGTTCGAAGAGACGCTATTCAGCGCTACCGCGACATTCTATCTTTATTACTCTTTACATGTACAACGAGAATAGAATAGGAGACGCGGTAATGCTAGATAACGTCTCCTCAAATACACCTAAAGTGAATAAAGTCGAGGTGCCTAGGTTATAAAGTTACGATATTATCAATTGTGGCGACAATTGTAAATAATATTGATAGATAAATATTATACGTGATTTATATGAGAATTACAACATTAAAATTTATTTGCAAGACGCATTATTTTCTTTTTTATTGTGCTATATACCAGATACTACGCTATCAAAATTAACGATAAAATGAAACAATAAACAAATGGATACGTCGAGTTCAGAAGACGAAATACCTACGGATATCCTTAAGGAAGCAATCGACCAACAGTTTTTAAATGACAACCTTTACAACACAAAAAAACACAAATTCATACCTCAGTCTAGTAAGTCCATTTTTTGCACTTGTATCATTTTTAAATTCACATACTTCAAAGAAAGTAAAATGGAAAATTTCGAAAAATTAGTAATATTTGAATAATCAGAGACCATAACCTTCAAAATGATATTTAATTCAAGCAGCAGTGTTGAAAGAAGCTGAGTAATATCACATATAGTCTGCAATTTCCATTAATCTACAGCAAATTATATCGGCACATTCAACCTTTAAATGATATACAATATTATATGACATATAAATATGATGTATAGATTGCATGTTGATAATTTTCTTGGTTGGTATATTAATTATTTGGATGATTTTAGAAGAATTGAGAACTGACGAATCAAATGCAGAATCCCTGAGAACAAATCTGAGACAGGTAAACCAATTTACGAATTTTGGTGTGACTGCTACGTTTCAGAGTTTTGTTGCCAAGAAGCTAGATGAGTTCTTGGAAAGGTATTAAGGTATTAACTTATATTATATTAACTTTACAAATGTATCACTTTATAATTATCTTTTTCCAGAATTATTGATTTAAAACAGCATAATAAAGCTAGTGATCGTTGTATGGAACAGCAAAGAAAGAAGGAAAGATCAGGAATAAAACTCTTAAGTTCATCACAACATTTTTTAAGTACCGCAGAGGTACATGTAGTTTATGAGAAGAAATCTAAAAAACGCAAAAAATGTCAAGAACTCGCGGAAGACGATGATGCGATGTCAAAATTTCGAGAGGCTGCCATTGACCCAAAACGTATATTAAGTAGATTAGATACAAAAGCTTGGACTAGTAAACGACCGGAGCCAGAATTTAAATATAAAAGATTGAAAAACGGCACTTTAATCGAGCAATTGTAACATTTATTTTCTATTTACAGTTGTCTTGCATGTGTAAGATATTTATATATCTGTATGTGTACATATATATTGGGTTGCCCGAAAAGTAATTGCCGATTTTTTTCATAGAAATAAAATACAATTTTTTTTGTGCATAGAATGAACTTTAATCACTGACATATTTTCCATTTTGTTCGATGACCTTTTGCCATCTTTCTGGCAACTTCATAATTCCACACTCGTAGAACTTCTGGTTTTTATCGGCAAAAAATTGATCCAAGTGCGATTTCACAGCTTCATCATCCTTAAAAGTTTTACCATCCAAGTAGTTCTGCAAGGATCGAAATAAATAGTAATCTGACGGCGCAATGTCAGGGCTATATGGTGGATGTAACATCAATTCCCAATCAAGCTCCATTAATTTTTGGCGAGTGACCAAAGATGTGTGTGGCCTAATGTTGTCCTGGTGGAAAATGACGCCCTTACGATTGACCAATTCTGACCGTTTTTCTTTAATCGCTGCATTCAGTTTGTCCAGTTGCTGACAGTAGACATCCGTATTGATGGTTCGGTTCCTTGGAAGGAGCTCAAAAAATACCACACCCTTCCAATCCCACCAAATTGAT